TTTTCCAATCAAATAATTAGTATGTGAGGAAAAAATAGTAGCTTCTTTCCTTCAGATTACATTAAGGTGTAGTACAGACATCAACGGCACAAATAGGGGAAAAAAATGATCATGTAATGCAGGCTATAGTAGATAGCGGCTTCAAAACGTACCAAAGACATCCAGATGTACAATATTTACATTCTACTTTCATTAACAAAAAGCAGCCCCTCTCGGGAATGAGGATCATAAGCTCTTCATTTATTTATCTTGACAAATCTTAGAAAAAAAGTCAAAAACAAAAAGGTCTTCTTTATATATAAATTTACAAAACAAAAGCACAAGGGAAAAAACTGAACAAACCAAGTAAATTTTCACTTCTTCACAATGCACAATTATGTTGTATCTCACAAACAGCTCATAGCTCCATGTCAACTTATTCATCTCTTTGATGTAACATGTTGACTACACCTCCTTTGTAAGAGCAAATTGTAACACATCATTCACAGAGAAAATCTAAAAATGCTGAAATGCTTGGAACTCCTATATATTAAATCTCTTCTGAAAATCTAAAGAAAAAGAGAACAGAATGTTTTAGACAACGTAATAGTGTTCAGGTTATCTAAATACATCATGTACATTCTGTTGTTCCTCTCACTGCTTGGGTTGAAAGACTGATGGGACGGCTTGGTCATCATAAACCCACACATTTGCAAAAAAAACCAACAAGATAAACATCTTGAAATAAACCATGAAAACATATTCAATAAACAAGTAAAAATATCTGAAAAACAAAAAGGACAGACAAATGTAAATTAAAAGTATTGGCAAAAATGACACAATGTTATGTAGATGTTTGCTTGATCCCACAGGCATTAGAGTATGTAAAGTATGAACATCCTCAGGGCACAAAAAGGCAGGGAATCAGGGCAAAATGGGTCAAAGAAGATAAAACAGGAAGACCTGCCACACCTCATCTTGCGGGATGATCATGAACCCTTTTACTTTTACAGACAATTTAACCTCTAAATTATGGTTCACAACTTGAAATCTGATAAAACAGTGCATATCTCCATTTCCAAGGAGTTCACAACTTGACCTCTGACAAAAGAGTTCACAACTTGACCTCTGACAAAAGAGTTCACAACTTGACCTCAAATAAAAGGGTTCACAACTTGACCTCTGACAAAGGTGTTCACAACTTGACCTCTGACAAAGGTGTTCACAACTTGACCTCAAAGAGGTTCACAACTTGACCTCAAACAAAAGAGTTCACAACTCGACCTCTAACAAAGGGGCTCACAACTAGACCTTTCATAAATGTGATTGCAAGTTGACAAAACGAGGACAAGGACAGATAGTTTTGGGACAAGTAGCAATGTTACAGGGATATAAGGAGATATTAAGGAGGGAATGAGGAATATCTTAGAAGAATTTAGGGAGATCTTAAGAGGGCATAATATGGTGTTACAGGTCCAGGGGGTAAGTGACAAGGGGATGGATATTTACTGTAAGGGTGGTTTCTTTCTTTTAAGATGTTAAGGAGGAAATTGGGAGACATATCATTGATGTAGGGCAAAGCCATGTTATTAAGTGAGGACATAAAGATGAGGGGAGAGGCTGTGGATGGGGGGACATGAGGAGAGATTGGGGACACTTACCCGTGAGGAAGTACGAAGAAGTTACAGGGATGTAGTCAAAAGCTAAAGGAACATGAGGATGTGTTGGTGGACGAGGATGGGTTGATGGGACACAAGTCAGGATAAGTGAAAGAAACAAAAACTTGAAAGCTTACAAAAATGGCAACTGGAACACAAGGCAAATATTTGATTTACATCAAATGCATGAAGTGGGTAAGGCATCAACATTACAAGAGCTAAACAAAGTTTTGTATTTCCAACAATTAGAGGAAACTGAACTTTAAAAGAGATAAGCCTTTCCATTTTTCCAAGTTTCCTGCCTTTCTGGTAATATTATCCACTTGTTTTGGTACCTTTTATTGAATGGTCAACAAGAACCAAGAATATTATCACTGCTGAAAGAGTAACTCCACCAATTTATGTTCACGCTGTAAAGCAAGAGCAAAAGGAGTTATGCCTACAAATTTTTCATGCAGCAATGAAGATATGTACCAAGGTATCATCTGGGAGACGGAATTTCACAAGAAAAGGCACAACTGAGTGTAAAAAAAAGTAAGAGAGGATAGGAAAATGACCCCAATAACAAGGAATCTAAAAGTATTTGAACAACAAATGGTGTTAATCTAATGTCAACAAAATAAACAAAGCATGGCAAGCAAAAAGATGTGGATGTACACGCTTGACCTCCACAGGAATGGACATGTGTGAATGTCAACAATAATTGGTCGCTGCATCAAACAAAGCAAAAATGTAACTTATATTTCTCTGTCTCAGTTTTTCTATTTTATCAACCCCCCCCTCACTAATCAGTCAACGTTTGCTCATTCATAAGATGAGGCAACATTAGTCACATGAGTTACACTGCTCACAAGCCTCTCACAATCAATGTGAAATAGATCACTTGTTTCTTTCATCATGTTTTCTCTGAATACATTCAGCTGGTACACCAACATACATATCAAAAGACTCATACCCCCCATAAACACAGTTTAGACAATTTAGAAAGCAGGTAATTGATGAGTTAGTCGAAAGATAGCATAATACCTCTCCCAACAACAGATCAATAAATTGGCGTCACAAAAAAAATTTCTGTCATATAGACAAATTATATTCTACAAGCAGTTAATCCCTTATTCTCACAACCTGACATTTAACAATACAACCAGTCTCTACAATCCACCCAAAAGCGGCTGGACAAAACCACTGGACTAAGGACAATAGAGCTTTTTAAAGGCTGGTGTCTGCCAACCATTCACATACCCCAACAGAAAGCACTTGTCTCATCATGACAACATCAAAACTTCCACAGTGACAACTGTCATAAAGAAGCTACATCACAACCTGAGACAAGATGGGAACTGTCTGTCCTGAGAATGGAAGTCCATCCTCTCCACACATCATCCCATTTCCCCCCTAAACTCAAAAAGGCTCTCATCAGGCTAGACAAATGAGTTGATACCCATGCCATGCAGCATGACCATAGGCCAGTAAAAACATCTGGGTATTGCTATTGCTAAAGTAATGGTAAGGTTTTTCACCATTGTAAGCAGAAGACATAAATGAGTTGGATTTCCACTCAGTGCAGTTATTTGTTATTCTATCAAATATCTCTGTTTGTTTGTTGGGACACAATATCCCTCTCAGCCCAGGTTGGCCCTGGCAGGCAGGGTCAAAGGAGCAAAGCTCCTAAATTATCTAAGTTTTGCCATTGGGAGCATAAAACTTTTATAATCAATCAAAGACTCAGTATCTGTCCAATCACCAACAACATGCTCCCATGGGAGAGCAAACCTTCAACAGAGGGAACGTCCTCACAGACTGCTCACATCATTGACAACATGAAAGTGAAATGAGCACCCATCAAACTAAAACAAAAACATAATTACGTAAATTTTTAGTATTCAACCTTTCTCTGGTACAACACACAACACAAAACCAAACCAACACAGTCATACAGACACTTTGCCAAACTAAAACATCCACAGACACTAAGTAAAACTGACATAACTATAAAGACCTGAAGGAACCCCCAACAATAGCCATGCTATATCAAATCCATAACTCAACTAGGTGGACAGCCCGTTGCGGCACCAGTCCAAAGGTAAAGGAATAATCAAATGAGTGACTAAGAGAATCACTGAGTGGTAGATGTCATCAGCCTGAGCTACCACACTCCACTGAATGACAGTGATTCAAGAAGCTTCATCCGACTACCAACACTCAGAGGTGCAATGTTTACTAGTTGCAACTGGCAGGTTTCTGGGACAAGAAAAATTCTATTTTACTTGTAAATTAGTTCTACAGTATACTCACTCAAAAACACTTCAAGTGATCCTAGCAATCAATCAAAACAAAAGTCTTAACACTGTTAACTTCCAAAAAAACATATGTACACATACACACCTTCTCTTTCACATGTAAGGAAACTTTGTAGAAGAATGTCAACTTTTGGATCAACTAAAGGTTGCCACAATCTCGAAAATAACATTACAACATTTTCCGAACTCCAGTCCAATTTTCATACGCAGTGACAGCAGATAGCACCAAACAAACCCATTGGTAAATGTCTGTTAAGCTGAAGTACATTGGAGCAACTATGTTGAGGCATATGTCAGGACAACTGGCGGCACTCACGAAAAGTGGGGAACAGAAAGCAGTGTAGGGAACGAAATCTGAGGAGAGAATTCAAGACAAAGTTACTTTTTCTGTGTCAGTGAGGAACATTATAGAAAAAAACCCACACTACCTATTTTCCCACAACCAAACACTGGCCCCGAGATGTCAATCAGATAATTCAGCAAACATCAAAGCTGTTTGATACTTTTGATAATACCAGAGTCCATGCCTAAGATCCCACCTCTTACAATCCCAGTTCCCTTAAAACCCTCCTTGTTTTAGGAAAACATAATTTTTACTAAACAAAAGTCATCCCTAAGATCCCGCCCTGAAAGATAGCATTCGGCTTAGATTCCGCATTCCAGATCATAATTTATGGAACAAACCCAGGCGGGAGCAGCTGCTCAACCAAGTCGTGAAAATTTGCGACTAATTTACTGCACGTTGCATCACAGATTATCCACTGCCATGAAAGTGATATTAGCTCTGTTGTAAATCTCGATGAAACGGTACAATATTTGCCCAGACAGGATCACACCAAGATGTGAACTCGTTGATGCATTTCTTTTCCCCAAACATAGAATTCACACCTGAGCTCTCCACCTAAACTTACATCACAAGTTGGGTGGGTAGAGCCTACAAGTTTAGTGTGCAACAGACAGGATCACATTGAACTGTGCTTTTGTTTTCCTGACCATTGCAGCACTTGTCTCTAAACCTGAATTTGTTTGGCAGACTGAATTTTAATTGGTGCAGTCACAAAACAATGGTGCGCTACGACAAAGGTGGGGGAACTCGGCCAGACCAGAGATGGAAAGCTATAAATTTTGGACAGGTAAATGGGTGGAGCAATGGGATTGGCATAGTTCATGAGACTCAAGATTGGACAAGTGAAAATTGCATGCCTCGTGCCCATGTGATTGGTTATCAAGGCTGACCACTCTTAGCCCATCATGTCATAAACCCACCTAAGGTTCATGTCAGTCCATTTCAGAATAAGGGGGGACCATTTTCCGATTGTGGTCTGACCACGTGTCACTGTGGATTTTCCCTTTGGTGCATCGGATAAGATCTCGCATTTTCCTTGCTCGCAAGCACCAGGATCTTAGAGACTAATGTATACAGAAAGCACAAAGAATGCAGATCCCATTGTTGTCATTTTCAAAAGGATTTGTACTTTATTCTTTTGATGTTAGGAGGACAAACAGAACTGAAGGTCCCAAACAAAAAGCAGATATCTTCTTGGTCTGTACTTTTCAGTTTTAGTAAGGTTTTACGGTGCTCGCAACTGCATAAGGTCATATTAGCACAAAGAGGTGGATGTCAACAGAAGTCCAAATGGGTAATCAGGCTTACTCTGCTCACCACTCTAGCCTCAACAGCACAAAGTCTGTTTCGATTATCAATGCACCCCAAAAATAGCACTTCACAAGAGAGTGACAAACATACGACAGAAGAAGAGGAAAATGACGATAGTAAGGATGAGGAAAGAAAAAGTAGCATTTCCCTCTATGTTGTTCCGGCACAGTATGAGCATGACATTAATAAATCAGCCTATTTACAATTCTACTGTGCATAAGAACATATTAATATACCCCCTTTAGGAATGGCCTAAAGAAAACTTCAGTCAGTAGCACTGCCCTGGTGGGGAGTCTGTGCCTTTGTGGGTGATACAGCTCTCCAAACCCATAAAGGACCTAAACTAAGTTGACAGAGGCGAAAATAATAACAACTGTTCTCCTTTCCATACAGCCAAGGCACTGAAAGCTTTACACTGAGAGACTGGTAGAAGTGTGGGCAGCTGTCAAAAAAGATAAGCAGATATTATACATCCATGGTGATGGTATATTTGTTTTGCAATCTCTAGTGGTGAACAAGCCTAGAGGCAACTTGTACACAAGGGACTTCTAAAACAGCGCACAGAAATGCCTCACCTGGTAGGGTCTTCAGCAGAGGAAAATCCTGGCACCTCCACCACATTAGCCTTTCCAGGGTACTCTGAGAAGCTGACAGTAATCTGTTGAGACAAAACAAACAAAGCCATTACAATTCCGTCAAACGGGCATCAATAAAAAAAAGACAACTCATCACTTTAATCATTTCAAATATGTAATCAACAGCTAGCTAACTTAATACTTTAATCATTTTAAATATGTAATCAACAGCTAGCTTACATATAATAAAGCCAAGTCCTGCTAGTCCATTTAAATACAAGACAATGCTGACCATAACAAAGAAAGTACTGGGTGAGAGATCAAGGGGAAGGCTACATGGTGCCTACAGAGAAGTCACAGAGAATGATGTACAAGTACAAAAAAGTGAAATAAGGTCAAGAATCAAGTAGGTAAAAGAGGAAAGTGTATGTCGGTGGGCTATACCCTGGTCCAGGACGAGAATGGTGATGATGATGCTAACAACAATAAGACAGACAATAAAGTTGGCATCCTTAACGCAGTGGACTCTATTAGCATATATCTATGTTTTTTTTGGTTTTTTTACCCTATAAACATTTCCAGAAACTTCTGAAAATTTGTTATACTAACTATAAAAATAACTTCCCATGAGAATCTGCCCCTAAATAAGACTGACCTGTTCAGAGAGTTGGGAAGGCTTGAGGAGTCTGAGGGCCTCCAGGTGAGAGTGAAACTGGGGCACCACTGTCAACTGCTTCTGGAGTAAATGCTCTGAACAAACAAGAGAAAAATGGGGTGTGGGTGGTTAACAAAAATTAATGTTGAAAAAGCTGAGAAGAATAGAGTAACAAAATAAAGTATCTTATCCCTGTCTTTCCTGGTTTTTGTTGAAAGATTTTCAACCTTATTTATCAAGGCCAATATCCATGCGACAAGATGGACAATCGATAAAATACCTACTACAAATACATGTAAATACATGTAGTTAACTGTTCAAATCCTTTGCTGAAAGCAGTGATTCCAACAGAGAAAGCAGAAAAATACAGAAGGGTCCATGTTTAAGGGGCAAAGTGCCCCCCCCCCCCCCATTCCACTCAGATAAGACGAAATTGGAACCAAGTGCCTAAAAGGTTGAAAATGGCAAGTGGGAGCCTGTTTGAAAATAATGCCAAATACCTACAATACCTATTTTTTCACCAAGAGTTTGTCATGTTTTACCTTGCTGGCAATGTTTAAAAACTACATTTCAATTTGTCACCACACCATTGACAGCAGGCAAATTCGGGAACATCAATCTTGACGATAAAATCACAAAGAACGTCCCGTAATTTTCCTCCGTTTTTGCCTTCAAATGTCGAATGTCCCAACCACATAGCATAACATTCATTTAATCTTTTCGACAGAAACACATTTGCAATCTTACCGATGATGTATCCCACAGTACAGTCGTCAGGTAACCGAATCGTTTCAGCAGTTGTCATGAACCTCCCTCCACTGAAACAGGCCAGAGAGCATAATAATTATTGCCTACAAAATCTTTGCAAATTTAAGGCAGGGGAAAAGAAAACTACTGAAATAGTTATTCTAAGACAAACATGAGAACCAATTAGGAGCCAGCTGCCTTGGTGGAAAAACACTAGTGCCATTATGTGGACTTTAAGGCAGCATAGTAATTACTAAGTCAAAAATATTATGACAAGTGCACTAACACAATCTTACCTGTATCTCTGAACAAAATCTAGAGGTCGAACATCCAACCAGACCATGTAATGTGCTCACCTGGCATGAGGAGCCATCTTCAGTGCGAGAGATCTACTGATGCAGAAGCCAGCGCCACCTGTTGCAAACCAGAAGGCCAGCTTCATCTGTGCAGGGAATGGGGAGAAGAAAAAAAAATACCCGTCTCGATAAAACATTGAGTCACATAAAGATAGAAGTAGCACAGCTCATGTGATGTTTGTTTGTTTGTTTGTTTTTGGTAGGTGTTTTACAGTGCTTGCAACAGCATAAGGTCATATGAATGCGCGAGACACATTAAACATTTTCAGTTGGTAGGAAATTTTTTATTTTGCCCACGGGCGGCCAAAGCCTTCTCTTATCGATTTTGAACCACCAAAGGATCTTAAACGTGTGCAACTTGCAAATGGGACCTCCAAGATTTTTCACTCTTGTCTGAGAAGGCTAAGTGTTGATCTTTCCTACCATAAGATCAGGGGTGTGGCTGAAAGACAGCAGTAAGAAATTTCCTACCAACTGAAAATGTTTAATGTGTCCCGTGCATTCATATGACCTTATGCAGTAGCAAGCACCGTAAAGGAGCAGGAGTAGAAAGGCTGCAGAAAGAGTCAGGAGCCTAGAGGCAGGGTCAAAGGGGGCGAGGGCAGAAAGTGGAGTCGAAAGCAGACGACAGAACATTGCTAGAGAGCAGGAAAGAAGGAGAAAGGATACAATTTTATAAAAAGAAAATTTCTGTCGCTATCTGGATTCGAACCCAGGACTTATTGAATGAGAGGCGAACACCTTAACCTCTAGGCCACAAGAGCCCCCAACTCCTGTCTAAAAGAACAGAAGTAGGAATTGCTATAGATGTTGATTTTCTCTAAAATATTTTGAGATACTGAACAGAGGGGCAAAGCAGTGCAAAAAAAATGTATTTCTCCCACCACCTTTCAATCACAAACAAAATTGCATCATCTAAACTCAGCCCAGGCTCTCAATAATGTCGAGCATATGTTTATGACTCAGCATTTAGGCGGGTGGTAACAGGGGTGTGTCCTTGTGCAACACACGATAATCTTAGCTCAACAATGGGATACTGCAGTTGACATCCAGCAAAAATGCTTGTTAGTAAGAATGTCTGTATTTGAGTGATATTGTGTATTATGTGACACTGACAAATTATAGTTAGAGACACATTTATTGTACTTGCCAAAGAAAATTGATTTTCAATGGGGAACTTAAGTCAAGAGCTTTTAAAGCACCTCTTTGTCACTTTGTACAATCATAAAAAATAAACCTCTGATAATGACTGTAAATGTCTTTTACTCCTTTGTTGATGAATTTAGATCATTGAAGAGGTGGGCTGGTGTGACCCTGCCTGTCAGGGCCAACCTGAGCCGACAGGGAGTTTCCCAGTACATGGTTATACTCCATAGAATAACTTCCCTACACCAGAATCAAACTCACATCCTCATTGAGAAACTGTGAAAAGCATAACCAGAGATGACATTGCACAGCTACTCACCCCAGGATGCTTGCGGTCCTCTATCTCCAAAGGGTGCTTGAGACTGGGCTTGCCCAGGTACCAGTCGCTGCGGTGGTCATACTGCTGCAACAACTTCAGCAGTCGAGGAACATTCAGGTAGATGTCGTCGTCCATGTGGCAGAACCAGCTGAAGGGAACAGACAGACATGTAGTAAAACATCTGATGGAAAAACAGTAAAGTATTTGAAAAAACAACCCCCCCCCCCCCCCGACAAAAAACCCCCACAACCTACAAGACAGAAGACTGGCACCGGAATTGTTTAAAAAGAAAGAAAAAAAAAAAAAAAACTATCCTGACTAAATGATCCTTGTTTGACTCACCGTTTCCGAGAAGCCATGTAATAGTCGAACTCTACAGCCATCTTGCAGCTCAAAGCTTGCCTACAGAGATACAAGAAATGTACATAAAATGAAACAATTTTAGTCAATTTGAAGAAAAGAACACCAAGGAGCAGTGGACCAGCAATGGCCTTCACAAACTCAAGAAAGATATCCATACATGAATATGCCATGGAAAGCAAAAAACACATTACCCCAATATCTTGGAAAAAGCCAAACAAAGATGATGGAAGGTGAACAAAAATTGTCACATATAAAATATGGTGACCAAAAAAGACACCGTCAGAGAATGGCTTAATAAAACTCAAGAAAAATATCCCCAATCATCTTGTAGGCCAGGCCCAAAACATAAACTTGTGATGACTTTCAGCTACTTCATGAATCAGACCAAAATGATTATGATTGTTAATATTTTGGCCCAAATCAATAGAATTCGATCATTCTCATTCGGGAAGCAGACAGCATTGACATTGCTTGTCAGGGACAACAACAAAAAACCTAATGATTACAAATTTGCCAGAAACCAGATATATACTATAATCTTCAAGTTGTCAGTTCATACTTAAAGGACAATTGCTAAAAAAAAGTCTACATTCTAAAAAAAAAGGTAATCATCATAATAAAAATAAAGCATCTTAAGGTGACATCTTTATCAAGCAACTTAAAGAAACTGGCACTTCCAACTGTATAAAATCCTAGTTAAAAAGACCTCTACAGTCTAACAGTAATCTGTCAAAACAGAGAAGAGCCCCACTTAAATCTTTTTATCCTGGTCGTACCCCCAAGGACTCTGTACCCGCCCTAGGGCCGCCACCCCATATGATTTGGAATTCAGGGTGTATATTTCAAAACGCTGTATTTCTTAAATTTACTCTTAGATTTTAAGGAAATTTGGCAGTTACGTTACAAATTGAAAGTAGTATCTGAAACTGTATGCGGGTGGGAATTACACCAATTACTAACACCATATAGATTTTGAGGTGTATCCCCCCATCCAACTTGACCCCGATTGCTGCTCCCACGACATCCCCTTGGATTTACACATCTACCCCTACCCATCGGTATTGCACCAATTCCAGTACTGGTCCCGTCACCGTGATCTGAACCACTATTAGGTGAGTCTAATTCCCGTTTGTTTTCATCCACAATGCTATTTACGGCACTTGATTCAGAGTCACTTTCATCAAATTAGTCTAATTCCCCCTCACAACCCAGCACCACTTCTTGAAGTACTTCATCAGTCGTGAACATACGTTTTGTGACATTTTTCAAGCTTCTATACCCATCAAAAACAAAGAAACCGCTGTTCATTGGAAAATTGAAATATTCAGACAGAGCTAGCATCACAGAATTTGCGTATTTTGGTAGTTACAAGCATTACTAGCTGTTTCATGTGATCGTATAGCTGTTCCGAGTTTACCTATAGCCCAGCCTAGTCCATGTTACGAGTATACTCGTAGCCCGGATAAAAAGAGTAAAAGAAAGATCAACCCACTGAGCTTCTGACACATCACTCAGTCAGCTAGTGATCATCATGTCACTCACTGCCACATGGACATACACTTATAATACTAGGTGGGTACTCATTCAATGAACGGACTCAAAAGAGTCCATCGTCAAGTCAGTGTAGAAACAGTGCACACTGCTTGTGAAGGGAAGCCTCACTTGTTTACAATGGCCCCTTAGACAGAAGACGGACTTTTAGAAGATTAGGTCTAAACGAAACTAATGAAAAACTGAAAGTTTAACTACAGTGACTTCAGACTCCTTACAAAATACAACTGTCTAAACCACCGTTAATTTTTTCAATTTGAAAGTTAAGTGGTTCGGAAATTTTAGGCGTCTAAAGTGAGGAACTTTCAAAAATAATAATATAACATGTCACCCACTAATTCATGATGTCACTTACTGGCCTACAGGCAGGGATATAATATTAACAGTTTGCGGTCACTTGGTGCAATAATGTGGCGGTGAAAATGATCTGTTCTGGTCACAGTTCTGTGCCAGGCCCGAGAAATCGGTTGCAGTCGTTCTCCTGGCTAGGAGACCAGATAGGGTATTTGTACTGCTGGCTGTGTGACTGCAAAGTGTTAAACTGCTGGTACTGAAAACATGCCAATCGTTCACTGACAAATCACTCAAAGAAATGCAAATTCGTTGACAGGTTACTCACCGACTGTGATCTGTGGAGCAGTTGGTATTGACAACATGATCTCCTGTGGAGAAACAAATGCCCAGATAAGCTGATGAAATACTGTTGACTAACAACAAATTTTCAAGTATTTAGAAATTTGACAACTCTCAAATCTAGATAGGTGCAAACTTGGAAGGATAAAAAAGTACAAAAAATATAAATATAACGTATCTGTTTACATTGTTTGTTCTTCAAAAACTAATTTTAAGCCACATCTTAAAGTAAATGTTCACTGTTACATTATACCAAAGATCATATTTGTGATACAATTGTCTCTAAACCTTGTTTTGTGATGATGTTAAATGTGGCTAAATTGGCTTATATAATATATACAAGTTACTAAATGAGTTGCAAACATTTAATATTCACCCATTTCTCAAAAGACAAATGGTACTATTTTGAACATGGGAACCTGCACAAGGCTGAAACTTATGAGGACGGAAAACCTGAAAATAAACTGTAAGAAACAGAAGGTCCTCATGTGACATCAACAACGAGGCACAAGCGGCACCCTGACTCCTGGTGAACATCTTATGATGAGAAAGGCTGTTGCCAAATATAAAAGCTTTGGAATTATCATTTCTCAGATAAGTGGCCCTGGCATCATGGTGAACTTATAGCTTGGCTTATATTATGGCAATAAAGGAAACAACAATCACGTCTTGCCAGGAAAAGCATCTAATAGGCCACAACAAATTCAGTCGAACCTATGTAAGATGGCCACCCGTTGTCAAGGAGAAAAATGGCCGTAAGACAGGTGGCCGTCTTAGGCAGGACTGATCAAGATGAAGAAAACAAACCATTCCTTTCTGAGGTCCCAACCGAAGGTAGCCGCATTGTTGTTGTTTTCACTGGGTATTTTTTCTCTTTTTTTCCTACTTTTGTGCAAGGGTGACAATAAAACGAAACGTGTCAGATGAGGAGGACCAAGTGCAATGGTAAAACAAACACATGGGTTGCCACCACTCGGAGAACGAGCAAGGCTTCTTTCACAAGTTCATGTTGACGTCCATTGTTACTTTGTTACAGACTGGGTAAACAGTGACCACTCATCTCACTTTCGATTTGTGTATGAGTTCTGGGCGGGGCTTATGGTTATGAAGGATCACACGCTTACCTCAACAGCAGCTGAAAAGTTGTTACCTATTGGTCAACAGTTGGAGGGGTCTACACAACACGATCAGTTGGAGGGACTACACCTAACAACAACAGGTGATTGCATTATGACGGTTTGCCCACAATGCAAGGGTCACTAAGATGGCCATCTAAGACAGGTGTTATTGTTTAGCGTGATAGGGGTTGTGTGTTAAAATATGGTGGCCGCGGCCGCGTTGGACAGGTGCCCGTTTTACACAGTTAAATTATATAGCAAAAACGCAAGGGGGGCAAATGGAAAGGGGCCATGTGTACAGGTGGCCGTCAGGGCAGGTTCGACTGTACAGAAAAATGGGGTCAGCACTCACGTAAAGCTTCCTTCATCTCTTTATCCTCCGTGTCTGTGAAGAAATATATCTGAGGAACCAAAACATTGTGTCCAGTAAGAATGTGGTGGGTAAAGATAGAAGAAAGGCTTTTTAATTCACAAATGGACACAATTCTATTGATTTTGTAATATTTAGTAATATAGATCTAGTTCGAATAAAAACATAATCATAAAAAACTAGTACTTTGCTAGGGTCGAAATAGTAAAAATTTGTAACAAATGAAAATGAACTAGAAAAGTGCTATAGCTGTAGAATATGATTGATATAATATCTGAACATGAGATGGGTGTGAGAATATATAAATTAAATCAATACCAACTACTGTCACTGAGTCGGTCTAAATAATCACTCCCGTCTCATGCTCTGGTATAATAGCACTTTCCTTGTTCATTTTATTCAACTGTATTACACAAGTAATAACTTTCTATCCTTCACAAATTGTTTTTGAAATATTTGATGGTTTTTAATCAGACTACCGTAATTACATAGTTTCATAGCAATTATTGCTATTTGAATTTAAACCAATCTAGATGTTTCAGGGGGGACATGGACACTACTCCCCCCCCAAAAAAAATCTGGGGTGGAGCTCAAAATTCTTGTAAAACAGGTAAAAATGAACAAAAGGAAAAAAACTTTTTTGTATTGAGATACAATACCTGAGCATGAGACATATGATGAGATAATAGGGAACGTAAAATTTATAAACAGTGGAATCCTGTTATAACGAGAGGGAGGGGATCGGTACGAAATGTCCGTTACAGCAAGCAGGATTCTCATAGTAAGGGATCCAGTAATAAATCCAAAGGAAATAATGAAGTACGCCAAATCTATGATGATGGTGTGGCTCAGCATGACCTCTAGGTCTTACTTGGATTAAAAATCAAATCAAGTTTTTTTCTCTAGCGTTAGCGATGTTGACGGCTCAGCGTTGGCAATCAGAACGAAAAGTTCTCAAGGCTAACTCGCCTGCTGTGTTTTCCCCCACCCCACCACACCCTCTGGTGCATTCCTGCGTCAGCTTGCGCACGTCACACATTCGCTCCATGATTCATCACAGCACTGTGACCTCTCCATCCCCGCATCGGAGAAGTGAGAGTACTGAGAGGCATGATAGGCCTAGATAATCTATAATACGCTAGCCTATCACTATCAGGCAATGCGTTCTGCTTCACAACGGCTTGTCTGCCAGTGCCACACCCTCCCAACTCATTTGCTCCGGCCTTCATCGTTGGCACCATGGGCTGTCCCATTCATTGTTTCACTAGATCACCAACAAGCTTCTCTACTGGCGAGGTTTTACATTGCCCTATTAATATTCCGCTATAACCGACTTGCGCAAACATATCTGATAGCGCTGTGGCAGTATTTTATTTACAAAGATAAAGATTTAAGAAGGGAAAAAAACGGGGTTTTAGAATTTAATGTCTTTATAACAGACTTCTCGTTATTTCAGGACTCGTTATAAGTGGACTCCACTGTACCATGATGCTTTTATTGGCTACATGCGTGATCTGGGTAAATTTTTACTTGCACTCCCGCACACTGATGCACTGCTTTGGGAGTCAAACTGTTGCAGTACTTTTTGCTTCTGATCACAAAAAGCCACTAAAACTGTTACAAATCAATTAGGCCGGATCTATTTCTCCGAACACTTGGGAAAATAAACTTGAACTCTATTTCTCCGAACGGTTTCAGTTCTCAAGAGTCTTTGGTTATATTTTTGCGAATGAAGTGTGTGACTATGCGTGGCGTATGTGTGTGTGGGTAAGGCGTGAATGGGGGGAGAGTGTGGGGGCGTGGAAGGATTTTTTTGTGATTTAGGTTTTTGCTTTAGGCTTTAGGAGTGACTAAATGCAAAATAGGTTACTGCCAAAGTCGAGCAGTCTCGTTTTCTCGCAGTACCTTTAGAAGGCATTTTCAAATGAAGTATAGTCCAGGAACGTTGCCCCAACCACAATTGAAGTATCTGAATATAAACTTGCACTCTATTTCTCTGAACGGTTTCCGTTTCTCGAGATTTTTTTAATAAATTGCGAGATTTAGGCGTCATCTTTCATTCGCTGCCGTTCTGCGACGACCGGGAAGAATCATTTTTAGCATCGAATTCAATTTCTAGATTCAGATACTCCAGTTGTGGTTGGGGCTAGGTTCCAGGACTATACTTAATTTGAAAATTTTTATGCCTTCAAAAGGTACTGCGAGAAAGCAAGACTGATCGACCTTGGCAGAAACCTATTAGATTTTGCATTTAGTCACCCAGCAAAAACTAAAATCCTTCATGTAAACAAAACAAAAAATCCCTCCACCCTCGCTCCGTTCACACCTTACACACACACTCACTCACACACACACACACACAACACTCACTAGTCACTCACACACACGGACCACTCCATTCGCAATTATTCAACAAATCTCGAGAACGGAAACTGTTCGGAGAAATAGAGTTAAAGTTTATTTTCCTGAGCGTTCGGAGAAATAGATCTAATCTAGTCTAGATCTAGATATCTAGATTCTAGAGCCAGCCGTGAAAAAATGCATAGCGCTGGGCCTTTAAAAAGTTTTTCAAGGCCAAAAGTTTTACCTGTTCTCGAGCCAGAAGATACCATGTTTTCAAGATCAGCTGAATTCTCGACTTGTGATACTTTAGAGTTGTTTTCACGCTGACAAACACATCACTGAGCTCTGTTTCTCTCAGTTGATTTGGAAGTCTTGCTCTAGCACCAGACTTGTTCGAGACTGCTCCCGGTTTCGCTTGCCGATTCACGGACACTTGTAAGCTTCCGTTTTTCTGGAACATCAAGTTTTTATTCTGCTGAGAAGCAACAAGTGATTCATCTCGGTCGGTGCCTCGTTTATAACCAACAGCATTCCTCCAATTATTTCCTTCATAACTGACAGAAACAGATTTAGCACTTCTTTGTCTGCGAAAGACCTCACCCAAACCTCCTACTCCGAAAAACTCTTGTCCTGGCACCGCTCCTTCAGCCCCATTCGGGGGCGAAGGCCATGCTCCGCCATTGCCCACGTCGCGCCTTGTATCCAAACTTTCTGCAACTTTCCCACGGTCGTTTAAGTTGTTGAAAGTCCAGATATTTACGTTATAACTTATCCACACATTCAAAAGCAATATAATGGTAAGAAAGGTGGAGTATTTCACCACCTTTCGCACAGACAAACGCATCTGGACGGAAAGACATTCCTTCACATCGTCTGTGTGAAGATTAGTGAAGAAAACAATTGAAAACAATCCGCTATTTTTAGAAAAGGCAAAGTGGGTCAAAAAGTTTACGGAATAGGTCACGCGCGTGCGCAAAAGCTCAATTCACACACCGCTTCCGTGTTTACAAAATGGGGGGTGATACATGGTAGGTCTCTCTTACAACTTTTATTGCTGTCAGTATATTAGAACTTTGGAACCCCCAGTGTTTGTGAAGCGTTAAAAAGTGTTCTTATTGAAGATACAGGGCCACATTTGTACTGTATTGGAGTTTTGGTTTGGGGCTTTATTGGTCAACGGCACATCATAAAACACCCAGCCATAGATGATAGATTCTACAACATGAGTTCGAGTTGTTGTTCAGTACATCGTCATGTGACTGCCCGAGTCGTCTTTGATTTGACAGATTTGACTGATGGGAGTCGAAAGTCTAGATATTCTAGTTGTAGATCTAGATCTAGATGTATAGATCTAGATCTAGATATTAGTAGTCTGATCTATGGAGAAAAATCGGACGGGCAAAATAACTGAACTTTTCCTGTCAAAATGAAACCATTTGTTCATTCAATGACAAGATAACCGTTTCAGTCAATTCAGTGTTTCATATTCATGGGAACAAATGAAACTTATTATAAAGAATCATTCATGATCTAAGTCTTAGATCATGAATGATCCTGTAATAGGCTATAGGTCTAGATCATATCCAGATCTATACCATACTGTTGTGCACTACACTACAGTAGTAGAACCTGCCTTGCCTTACGAGAAAACTCTCTGAGACTGAGACAGAAACCTATCATAGCGGAATGTCGGCGCTTTTTCGGTAGTTCCCACCCCGCATTTGTTATTCGCCGGTTTTGGCCTCAAGAGTAGGGGGGTTTCAGGGGCCCCTGACCTAATAAAAACAAGGTGGGGGGTTTCAGGGGGGCATGCCCCCCTGAATTTTACCACAATTTAATGTTTTGCAGTTGTTAGGTTTGACATCTTAGCTTGCCGCGAATCAAACGTATATAGATCTAGATGTACGTCAGGCTCTATCAAATAAGGGGGGTGGGAACTACCGAAAAAGCGCCGGAATGTCCCTGCTTCCCCGTAGATAAATCTCGCCATAGTATAGATCTAATTACCTCTATAAGACGGAAACCTGCTTTATGCGAAAACGGGAGAAATTCCTTTGCTTCATATGGTTTTTACCTGTCTAGACAGAAAATGCTTTGGCCTGGAGCCCGCTCCGTCCAGATTTGAAACAAAACTAGGAAAGTTTGGTTCCATCAGATCTAACTTTTACGCCATACCGCCTCGCAAAGAAGGGGAGTGTAGGGGTGTGACTTTGATATTGCCCCATCCTAGCGGCTAGCGTGAACCCAAAGCCTTGCCGTTTGTTTGGGCCAGGGTGGTGTGGGTGTGAAATCTCACCAGCCTTTGAAAGTGCTGGAGTGAAGCCCAGTAACGTTCTTAGGCAGCCAGAGGTGTGAAGTTAATCTGACCAATGCCTACCGCCCTGATCATACAGCCAGAGGAAACAAGTTCCAACTCTTTGTCTCCGACAAGCCACTCCCAGCGGCTCGTGGTCGGAACCACTGTGCCGATGATACGCTGACTGTGGCTGGGGCACATTCCTTTAAGATGACTTCTACTTCAAATTATTTTTTAATTCGGCAGTTGCCAAAAACAGGTCTCTTAGATGAAGAACTGCCAAAATAGGTTTGCTAGTTTCGATTTTATGACACATTTAATGTCATTTTTTACATTTTTAGATTTAGCACCAAAAAAGGGCCCTGGCGTAGTGGGTTTATCCCCCTTGGAGATAAAGAGTTAAATTGTTGATGTATGGGAGGCATAGCATTGAACCCTTGCTTGACTGTGCTTATATACCAATGGGTGAGGGTGGGGCTTGCGCATGCCATTAGAGGTTAAGGTGTTGGCCTCTTATTCAAAGGTCCCGGGTTCGAATCCGGGTAGCGGCCGAAAAATTTTCTTCTCTAAAATTGTCTCCTTTCACCTCCTTTCCTGTTCTTTAGCAATATTCTGTCATCTACTTTCGTCTCCTCTTTCTGCCCCCACCCCCTCACCTCCTTTGCCCCCTCCTCTGGGCTCTTGACTCTTTCTGCAGCCTTTCTACTGCTGCTCCTTGACTCCTTCTTACAGCTGTCTTTTTTCCACACCCCTGATCTTATGGTAGGAAAGATCTACACCTAGCCTTCTCGAACAAGGGCGAAAAATCTCGGAGGGCCCGTGTACAAGTTGCGCACATTAAAGATCCCTTGGTGGTTTAAAATCGACCGCCACTCTGGCAAAATTCAATATTTCCTACCAACTAAAAGTATTAGGTGTGTCTCGCGCGCTCATATGACCTTATATAAATGCAGTTGCTAGCGCCGTAAAACACTTACTAAAAAAACAAAGAGAGAGAGACTAGGATACTAGGATAGCACTTGAGAGGTGTAAAATTTCTACCTGTGCTTTTCGACCTGACAAGTGACCCTCGATCCCACCAGCTGGGCCTCTGGAACCCTCCTCCCTCTCCATATAAATTCCCCTGTCTAAGACGAGATTTTTTTTCTGCCTGCAGTTTGATTCCATCTTTGACAGGTTCGACTGTAAATAGTTTGTTACTCTTTTGACAAGTAGATACAAAAACAAACATTTGAGGCAAGGATGTCACTTTTGTTTTCATTTCCACATCATGTGATGAGTTTATTATATAACATGAATGTTGACTTTAACTCTAAGTCAAGGCCCAAGAGATACACATCTAGATTTAGAATTGAAAAAAAGTGTGTCACGAGGTGGTAGAATCAGGCGCTCGTTGAGTTTTGGGGATGTGGAGTGTTATTATTGGTATCATCTCAACAAAGCTTGTTCATTTGTCTTGCTTTTGATAAGAAAAAAAAAGTACTCATCAATCTTGAATAGAGGTCGCAATATTTGCGATTGAAGGTGTGGGTCGACTGGTTTCAGAAGTGAAATTAGTGAGAAAATGACTGCCAAATTTTGTTGACTTCCATAGTTTGAGAGTCCTTATAAACTGAACATTTACATTTTTGTGCCTTTAATCAACATTTTTCAATAGAATCCACACAGAAATACAGGATGATTAGAAAAGAATATGCCAAAATCATCACACAACATTTCAGTACCGAAAAACAATAGAAAACTTTAGCTTCGTCGCGTGTTGTACGTACCTTCAAGTTTTAATTTAATATTTTACAAGTGTTCAATGTGGACAGTATCAAGCCAGTATATATGAAAATTTCTCTCAAACGTGCCTCAGAATGTCTCTGGCCACCGTGTTGATTATAGCAGTTATTTGATCTGTTATGCATCTATATTTGCTGAAAGTGGTGTGCATAAATTTTGTCTTTAACATACCCCCACAAAAAATAATCACGCATAGTGAGGTCTGGGGAATCTGGCAGGCCAACCGCAGAGAGTGAGGTCTACAGCACCTGTCCTACCAATCCACCGCTGAGGCACGTTTTCATTTAGATAAGCTCAACCCTAATAATAATAATAATAAATAGCATTTGTATAGCGCATATCCCCGCTCAACAGCAGGCTCTCTATGCGCTTTACACTATATTATTACCCCAGCAGACCATAGAACACTCCGAAACATTCTCAGCTTCCCGGGAAGCATAGATATGCGAATGAGGCGGTGCTCCATCTTGTTGAAAAATGAGGTCACTCGAATCTGCGTGCAGTAAAGTGAAAAGCCACATCTTGTGGGGGTATGTAGACAAAGCTTATGTTCTACCACTTCCAGCAAATGACATGAAAGATCGAATAACAGCTACAATCAACGCGGTAGACTCAGACATCCTGGGGCGCGTTTGGGAGGAATTCTCATCTTGATGTTGTCCTTGGTGCTGGTGGTGGACAAACTGAGCACGTGTAAAACATGAAATAAAAACTTGGTGTCCAAGTCCAAGCTGGAGTTTTCTATTGGTTTTCTTTTTTGAAATATCGTGTGATGATTTTGGAGTATTCTTTTTTAATCACGCTGTATTTTTTCAAATAAAGAAAACTTCAAATAATAAGAAGTTGAGCCAAAAAACAAATATTCTATAAAAATGCATTACCGACAGAAAAATGCAGGTTTCTTTGATTTCATTATTTTGACGAGCGCCTGATTCAGTGTTCACCACTATGCATCACAAATAATAAGTAGGATTTACTGGTTTTTATTTAACTTTTTATCTCTGGAGGGAATTTTCCCCTGATGTTGGAGCTCTCTTTTTGTACGAACCCTGATAGTGACAAAAGCATCATTAAATTGGTCATTAATGAAAGAACTCTTTTAGAGAGACCTAAATTTAATTTTGTCATGACAGAATATAATATTTTAGCAATACTTCGAATAATATAATATGAGAACTGCTAAAACTTTTGGCTTGATGTCTGTTTTCTTTGCTTCTGCAGGCTCAGCGAATATGAGGCCTGTTCGAGGCTCGGCCAAGATCTTATGGAACAAATCAATGAGAGAAATAAACATGCACGCACCAGCTCAGCATACACTAAGGTGAGTGATGAGGGCAATATGTTTTATGCAGGTTGCACAATGTTTGGTAAAGGCAGTTAGTCTGAAATTCTTTCTCATATTTAAACAATAGATAGTTACTCATGAATGTGTGGGTGTATACAGATTTGTAGATGCCTTTGCATTGTGTTTGTAAAGGGTGAAAAGCATGTTTGTATAAAAAATACTAGTCATGTCCCAGACATTTTATACCCAGGGAGACAAATGAGGAGGGAGTGAACACAGCAGCGTTGGAGATAGCTGCTCGCTGGTCTGTGGTGTCAAAATCTGGTTGTGCAGACTCTCCAGACTGCCCTTAAAGTCTATGATACAAATGAATGATGGTTAGCTTTCACCTCTTTGAGATAGAGGGGCTTTTGATGCTTTCCACAGATGGTTATGTTGTCCCGTCAAAGGAACAGAAAACAGGAAAAAACTTTTTACTTTCATAGTCAGAGGTTGGACAAAGTACCAGGAGATAAGCTGATGTATTGATCCATCCCGCCCTAGGTTCAAGCATGTAAAATACTTGACGGACACTGCTGTATGCCCAAACTAAAAATGAACACTGGCTCTGTGGATTATTAAGTCAAGCAGCTTGTCTTGGGAGCAAAGGTGCCCCTTACAGTTCTTTTTGTTCTATAACAGTTTGTCATGCTAATAGCCATAAAGATTTTATAAATCAGTTTGTACATGTCAACAGCAACTGTGGTTTCATTCCTTACTTTTTCACTTTCCTTTTCATTGAACCCCTTCTCTCTTGTAAATAGTTTTGATTAAGACATAACCTTTGTTGCGTCTGTGGCTTTTGAAGCATTAAAAAATACAGGAGGTTCCTATTTTTATATTCACCTCTTGTAAATGATCTTGGTATTAGTTTACTTTACATTATTATATGGAACTTTGTTCTTTTCTTTCATTGTATTCCTCAGCTTTCTGCTCAGATACGATCAAAGACAAGACAGTTCACCTCTGACCTGAACAGATTGAAACAAAATCTGATGAGAGCATCAGCATCCTATCATATGTATCCTTTTTTTAAAGCCACTTTGCGCTTTACACCTTTTTACATGTCTTTTTTTTCTGTGAAACTTCTTTGGGTAGCCTAACTCTTGACTTATGCCATTTTGTGAAAGTGTCTTTCAATATTTATACAAATTTGGGGTGTTACCCATAGCAGCAGTACATGAACTCGAAAGCAGTAGTTTGGCTTCTTCCCTTGACTTTGTGAGAACGCAACGTGAGGTGGAGCGTCGTCAAGGCATGATGGATGTACTTGTGACAAAGGAAAAGCAGATAGATGAAGCAACTCGCAATGAGGGTTCATCAAGGTGAGTTCGTATGGCATAAGACTAGGTCTGTTTTGTAGCCTTTATAGTTTTTTGTATTAATTGTGTGAAGTTTCTTCTTCTCTGTTTTACTGTGAACACTTTGTTTTCAGCATTTTGCTCAATTTTTCTTATTTCTTCATCACTGTTTTGTTTTTGAGGCATGGTGCTGTGCAGGTTTTGTTTGTGCAGATCTGTGTTCTTTTTTTTATTTTTTTTTCTCCTGATTTCAAAGTGTTTGAGATTTTTGTGCAAACCAGCAAAGTGTCTGATGTCATATGAAATGATGGGCTTTGTGTTTGAATTTCCACCATAGAGTTGCCTTGCTTGTGTCTTTGTAGTCTGCATTTGTTAACATGTATCACTTGTACATAAAATGATTGTGTGGGGCATCGTGGTGAAATCAGGCACTCTTCAAAATAGGGAAATCAAAGAAACTGGCATTTTTTGTTTTTGTCCGTTTGGCAATTTTTTTTGAATTTTTGTTTTTTTGATTCAACACCTTTATGGTCCATTTAAAAACACATTTAAAAATGTACATTTGCACTTTTTGAATACTCTCAAGCTTTGGAAGCCGCAAACTTTGGCAGCTATTTTCTTGCTAATTTTGCCTCCGAAACCAGGCGACCCCCACCTCCTTTCATCGCAAATATCTCGAATTCTATTCTTGATATATGAGTATTTTTTTCAACGAAAGCTAGAAAGAAGAAAAAGCTTTAAAATGATATCAATAACTCCACTTGTGCAAAAATTGGACAGTACCTGGTTCCACCGCGTCGTGTCACATATTTGTTGTAACAGCAAGCATTTGTCCTTTACAAATTATCTTGAATTTCAGCTATAAGACAACTGCAGGGGACAGGTGAGTAAAAGGCTGATCCCAAGCTGTTTCTTCCTTTCCCATACCTTTTCCTAAGAGTGTTCCTTTTTCATATTGACAAAGAGACTGATTTTTTACTTTCTTTCATTCTGTTGATTTCTTGCATCGCATCGTGTGTTCATTTGTACGCCTGCATTACCCGAACGTTGAGCAAATATGATAGTACTCTGAAAAGGAGGTAGTTGTTTTCTTTTTGTTAATCCTCATATTCAGAAGCATCAAAGGCATGTTGTGGATACTAATTAAGCTTCAATGTACTTTAAAAAAATCTCTAACCTTGTCATTCGAAATAAAGACTGCTACTCAGCCTTAAGGTTGAACTTACTTAGATGAACTGGATAATTGACAGCTAAGTTTAGGAGGTTGAGTTTTCTTAATGGCTCTTCAAAACCAAATAGAATACATTACCCATTTTTTAAACCTTGGCATGCCTGCTTGTCGTGAATATGGGTGAGCTCTGACAAATTTTTTAAAGTGTGTGTGCAACCACTGATGTACCCAGTGGGCCGAGTTTTCTGTCTTTCTACTTTTTGGGGGGTTTTTTTGTTAGTGTTTTACGGCGCTCATAACTGCATAAGGTCATATGAGTGTACGGAACACACTAAACATTTTCAGTTCGTAGGAAATTTGGAATTTTGTCAGGGTGGCGGCCGAAGCCTACTCTTATCAATTTTGGACTACCAAGGGATCTTTAACGTGCATCATTTGCTCACGGGACCTCTGAGATTTTTTGCCCTTGTACAAAAAGGCTAGGTATAGATCTTTTCCTACCAGAAGATCAAGGGTGTCAGTGGCTGAAAACAGCAGTAAGAAGGAGCCAAGGAGAAGCAGTAGAAAGGCTGCAGAAAGTGTCACTGGCAAGAGCCCAGAGTTGGGGGCAAAGGAGATGAGGGGGTAGGGGCAGAAAGCGGGGACGAAATCAGATGACAGAACATTGTTAGAGAGCAGTAAAGGACGTGAAAGGAAACAATTTTAGAGAAGAACATTTTTCCGGTCGCTACCCGGATTGGAACCCGAGACCTTTGAATGAGAGGCAAACACCTTAACCTCTAGGCCACGAGAGCCCCCTTTCTACTTTTTGTAGTACTAAGGTGCTGGTGGTGTCCAAGTAAATTTAAGTCAGTGTGGAGTGAATGTTGAATTAGAGAGTGTGAATACTGGAGACATCACTTTTCACCGTTTCCGACAGACAGACTTTCGAGACAATAAGTTTGCATGGATGTCTATTTGGGTTGGTTTTGTACTCCCTGATAGTACTGTATATGTGTAATGAGTTAATGACGTCAGACTCAAAAAAAGGAAATACCTGACTGCCAGTGGTTGATGGGTGCTCTGATGTGGTTTGCTCTTTCTATTCTGCCACACACACATTGTCATTATCTCTCCTCCTTCTTTTGTCTATATAAAACTTTTACTAAATCTAGAGACTAAATGCCTCTCTGTTTGAGAAAAGTCACTGAGAACAGGTGCTGTGATGGCTTGCGGTCATGCTACTCATTAGCTAAGGGTGGCTAAAGCTTTCTGTGGGCATGTGTTGTCAGTGAATTTTGGGACGTGAGGTACTGGGCTGGGGAGATATTGGATGTGTGGCCGCTGGGCAAGGTGTTTGTTGTGAAAGTGTTTATCAGATGTAGGTAACAGGTGATTGTATCATGATCATAAAGGGGGAGGAAAGATTTAGCGCTGGAGGCTAGACTGGCTGCTGGTTGGGGTGTCTGTGGTTTTGTTTTCACACTCATGTCTCATCTCCCCCCCCCCCCCTCCTTCCACATTCCACCGGCCATTTTTATTCTTCTGCCCCCACTCCTACCCTCCATTATTTTAGATTTCTTGAACTTAATTGTCTTTCATATTAAATGTTATGTTTATTTCCTCTCAAATGCCATTTTCTGCTGACAAATAGTTTGAATGTCTCTCAATGTGGACCAGATCTACAGATCAGGCCAATCCATCTTCTGGGTACTTTTGTTTGTAGGTTCCATCAGTCTATTATCGTGAACAGTCTTTGCTTCATCTCTGCAGCACACAATTGATATTCTTGTCTTTTACTCAAAAGTCTCACCCCGGGTTAAAAATGCTTCTTCTCTGTATGTTCTGTTTAGATGCTGATTGTGAAACTCTCTCTCTGTGTAGAGTATACTCAGCAGAATTTATAAAGCTCATTGAGATGTAGTTTTTTTTATTTTCAAAGTGACTAGGGTTATATACAGTATTGTTCACCCTTCCACGGAAGACCCTCACTCTTTCACAATTACTCTATTGTCTTCGACCATTTCTTTCAAATTTAATTACTCAGTTCCCTCGAGGGTTTACAGCATTGCAGCTTGTCATTCACACTTTTTTTCAATGTGGATTGTGGAATAGTGTTTCATTATTGTTTGTGTACTGAAACCGTTGTTATTCATTTATTCTGAATTTCTACCTGTAGAAGTGTACCTAAGTGATATTGGGCATTCATTGACAATGAATATATTACCAACTTAGGAGATTTAAAAAAAGGAGATTAAAATACTAGGAGACTGGGATTCAAAATAAATGTTTTTGTAGAAATGTTGTTGTTTAGTTTCAGGAAATAAAATGAGAAAATAAGGTTTGAACAAAGATATTAAAACGGCAGACTGTAGTGGAAATTGATACTTACTTTCGAAATAATGCGCAAGTCGAAAAGAATTCCGCCCTCACACACGGTCGAGTGCATGTCAATGTCTGTCCCCAACCCCTGAATTCAAGGGAAATAACTGTGAAAATAATACCGTACTTTTTTATTTAAAAAGTTATATCTCTTGACCCGAGGAGGGGATGTTTTATGGATGGCTGGCGGAATTCTTAAAATTCAGTAGATTGCAAAGTGTATAAACAGAGAGTCTCGAAACACTGAACTGCTTTGTTTGTATATGGTGAGAAACAAAGGGAAGATGTTTTAAATAGTGAAAGCGAGAGTTAGAGAGAAGGTCAGGGAACTAGGCTTCGAAGTTGAATGGAAGCTCAAACATTAGTTACCTTAATGTACCGGTCCTGAGGGCGTTCTGATACATGTCAATCTTTCCTTGACGTAAGCAAAAATTTATACATTTTTTTTGTTACTTTTTTTAAATCACGATTTCGGAAAAGTCTTGCACAGCCAAACAGGGTGCTCTCGTGGCCTAGAGGTCAAGGTGTTCGCCTCTCATTGAAAGGTCCCAGGGTTCCAATCCGGGTAGCGACGGAAAATTTTCTTCTCTCAAATTTTCTCCTTTCACATTGTCAATGTTCTGTCGTCTGCTTTCGTCTCCACTTTCTTCCCCCGCCCTCTCACCTCCTTTGCCCCCTCCTCTGGGCTCCTGATTCTTTCTGCAGCCTTTCTACTGCTTCTCCTTGGGTCCTTTTTACTGGTGTCTTTCAGCTACACCCTTGATCCTATCGTAGTTAAGATCTACACCTAGCCTTCTAAGACAAGGGCGAAAAATCTCCGAGGTCCCGGGTGCACGTTGCTCGCGTTAAAGATCCCTTAGTGGTCCTATCAATCCAATCTCTCTCAACAGGACTCATCAATCACGCCATCTCAAAATTTCTTACCAACTGAAAATGTTTGGTGCGTCCCACGCGCCCATATGACCTTATGCAGTTGCGAGCGCCGTAAAACACTTACGATTACGACCCCCCCCCCCCCCCCCCCCCCCATAATCAACAACATCAAACCCAGCCAGACACCAAATTGAGTAACCGTTTTGTCATAGCTGCAGCCCGCTTTATTACCCTTATTCTTGTAAATAGTATTGAAGATAACATGTCTTACTATAGCTATTATTCTCCGTTAAAAATAGTTTGTATCAATCAAGTGATGCAGGCCACTTTTTCAAATGGGTAGTGTATGACCTATTTGTGTTGCGAACTGCTGTTAAACTTGTTAAACCTAAAGCTTTCTCAAATGATTAGAATATTACCAGTCTCTGACGAATGTTAAGGATGGATTAGCCAAATTTATATTGAAAGTGTATCTGCTTGATTTGATCACGTTTTTATTCCCTACTCTTCACAACCATATAAAAGTACATTTTGTATATATATTGTATTTGCTAAACGTTGGTGAAAAAACACGAATAGAGGATGATCATAGAGGTGTTTGTATCTTTTACATCAACCT